GGGCTGATATTGGCTCAGTGGCAGTGGGTTTGGTTTGATTTTGAGTCCGCCTCCAAGACTGCATATTTTTTGTAGCCCAGGAAGTACGAGTTTCTAACTCCAAGGATCTCATTAAGAAGCAGAGCATTTTTGACAGAGTCCAGATTTGCCTCTCCCCAGAAAACAAACTGCAGTCTGCTAGCATTTTGCAGACACATTGCCTTCTTCCTTTGCCCTAGTGTCTTCCCCAGGTTAATTTTTGGTACCCACTATTTTGTGCATATCCAGGACCTAGACCTTGTTAATATAGCCCATACCTATAAAATGATGCTGGTGATTACAGACTGAAATACAGACTGGACTGGAACTAGGACCTTCAGTGCATGAAGTGAAGAGAGCAAGTGCAGTGCAGTGGAGACATAGGGAGGGACGGGGTCTCTGGAGAACTGGGTAGGGTAGCACCCACCCTCTGTAAGGGGGAGAACTTCTCCCAGCTCTGCTCCGTCATTAAAACCTGGCAACACGGCGCACTGCTCCTGCAAAGGCACTCTGTTTGCAAGTTCATGATAAAGGAAGGTTTGGAGCTGAGCGTAGACTAGACACTGCTAATGGTCTTACCAACAGGCATGTGTTTCTTAGTAAGCAGGTCAGGGGTGAAAAGAATATTCACCTCCTCACCAGTCTTGATTCCCTGCAGTAGGGTCCCACTCACAGGGTTAGACCCCCTCCAGGCATGTCCAAGTTCACATCAGGAGAGGGGACAGGAACTTCCTCTGACCTGGGATTAGATAGTAATTAGACAGCCATGTCTACACACCAACTGGTAGACCCAGAAAGCAGGTAGGGAAAGGAGTCACGAAGGGGGCCTTGTGGGTAGAGAAGCGCATTCATTTCCCCTTATTCTGCACACTGGTGCCGGAGAACAGCTCTTCCTCCTTTGCTCCACCGAGAGAGAGTTCTGCTGTTTCTTTCAAGTGCGTCCCTTTGACCTTGCAGCATACACTTGAGTATTAGCCACTGAGAGATGGTGAGGGAGTAATTCCCGTGTATCACACAGTACACCAACATGTTCTTGAACTTCCAGTTTAGAAAAGAGAAGTCAAAAGGGGCTTACTTCCGATTTACTTATTGGGGTGATGCTTTTTCACCCCCTTCGTGAATGAAATGAGAGATCTCAAGAAGTTTTGTGTGTGTATAGGGATTGGGTGAATATATATGTATGTGTAATTAGTTTTTATTTTAAATTTCTTTTTTAACATTTCATTGATATTCAGAATAGATTAGTGGGATCTCAAGTACTCAAAAGCTTCACTTATTTCTTCTTCCCTCCCCCCCCCCAGTTATTTTGAAGTGTAGATATCATCTAATTTCACCAGTATTTCAGAAGGTCTCTCTAAGATAAGGACCGCTCCCCATGCCACCCCCACCCTACCCCCCTGTCTTTTGACCATGGTTATAAACATATCAGTCACACACACACACACAAACACACACACACACACATATATATATATATATATCCAAAACCCTTTTCCTAATATCTTCTTAAAATTCATGTCTTAATATCTAGAGATGATTCCCATTCATTGTCCCCAAATTGAATCTCTTCTTTTTTTCATTTAGTTCTAATTGGAATTCAAATGGGAGCTGAGCATTCTAATTGGTTGCTGTCTCTTGATACGTTTCTTCCGGTGTTTAAGGTGCCCCTCCATCCTTGCTTACTTCCGGTTTGCTTGTTGGGGTGATGCTTTTCCACCCCCTTTGTGTAGCGTCTCTCAGTGTGATTTGGCTGATTGCATCACTCTGTCCTGGTGTTGCTTTAAAACACTCATCTGACCCCTGGACTTCCTGTAAAAGGCCGAGGAAGGAGACTTAATCAGACCCACATTCCATTTCTGGATCAAGAAGACTTTCTAGGGAGCAGCGTGGTCTTTCAGTTGGAGCATGTGATGGTCATTGTTGCCTCGATCACAGAACTCATAATATTGGGGGGAGAAAACCCAACATTCTGTTTGCTACATAAACACATACATCTTTGGGCCCCCTTCAGCCCATGAGCCACCAGCTGGCAAATGCTTATCTGTCAGAGCTCAGGCTGGAGCCCTGCCCATGTCTGGAATATTGTCTGATGATTCATGTTAAGGAACATACTCCCGGGGAGCCTGTCTTGACAAGTGGAAACGATCTCGCTGCATCTCCCACTGGAGTTGTATATTTTTCTGTGCCGCCGTTTTGTTGTTGTTTCAGTTGCCATCTAGTAGGCTCAAAACCATGGCAACCTTGGCTGTGCACCGCATTCAGGATCTTTGCTGGTTAATACGGTTGTTGTGTTAACCCATCTCTGTGAGGGCTTCCCTCACTTTGACTGTCCCTCTGCTCTGGCAAACCTGCTTTTTACACTTGCCGTGAGTACACAAGTCTGTCTTGTTTGCCTGGGGTAGAGACCCCGGTCATTATAAACATTGTTCCTCTACCATCATAATTATAAAGATTGTTTCTTTGGCATTAATGCAATATAGCCCTTCTCCATTGTCAGTGAGTAAGATTTGCACAAATTCACATTATCTCTTTTTAATGGAAACTTTACATGTCTGTTAGCTCTGTTTAAAAAAAAATAATTGTGAGTATGTGATGAACAATTCATCTTTCTTGAGAGCGGTTGCAAGTCAGACAACAGAAAAAAGATCAGTTTTTCCATATTTGTCTCACGTATTTGGAGCATGTTAGGAGAGGCTGTTTCTTGGAGAGGGACAAGGTGCTTGGAAAGGTGGAGTGTCAGTAAAAGAGAGGAAGACTCTCAGCCAGGTGGGTCTACGCAGTGACTCCCACAATGTGCTGGAATATTTCAGGGATGAAGAGGGTGGCTGGCACAGGACAGGGACCGGATTCATATCAGTTATTCTTGGAGTCTCCATGGGTGTACGTGACTCAGTGCCACATAACAGCAACACCAACATTTTTCCATAATACTAACTAGTTACTATGGACTGCCAAGAAAACAAACAGATTCATCCTGGAGAGGGTTAAACCGGGCTGCTCCTTGGAGGCGAGGATTCTGGGGCTTCGTCTGACATACTTTGGGCATGTTGCAAGGAGGGACAGGTCCTTGGAGAGGGACATCATGCTTGGGAGGGTGGAGGGACAGCACAGGAGGGGAAGGCCCTCTATGAGGTGGATTGATTCAGTGACTGGGGTAATCGGGATGTGTGTGTCAGAGGCAGTGCGATTGGCACAGGATAGAGCAGGGTTAAGAGCTGTTGTACATAGGGTCGCTAGGAGTCGCAAGCGACTCGACGGCACATAACAACAATTTTGCTTTCACTGAGTGAAGGGAGAGGAAATTAATTGGAGACATTTGAAGAAATTTAATTGCAGGTCGAGCAAGAAAGCACAGTGGTTACAGACTCGGAGCTGAGCAGATCTGCCTTTCCAGCTACGTGACTTTCCAACACTGACCTCACTTCTCTGGCTCCCCATTTCTTTCTGTCTGAAGTGGGGCAATCAGTCACTCGACTGTGTGAATCCTGACAAGCCATGGGTCTCATTGTCAGAAATAAGAGGACCAGAATGCTTCATTTTGCATGTGCAGAACCTAAAGATAGTCATTTGACGAGAACAAGAAGTTACTGTACATGTATCTCAAGTATTGTAGCCTTTCGCTGTGCTTACTCAATCTGTATGCTGAGCCAATAATCCGAGGAACTGGACTATATGAAGAAGAACATGGCACCAGGCTTTAAAAGACTTATTAATAGCCTGTGTTATGCACATAATGCAAGCTTGCTTGTGGAAAATGAAATTGAAATACTGGCCTTTAGTAGGGATTATAACCTAGTCTTAGGCTGAGTTCTGTACACACACAAAACTAACAAAGCTTTAATACATGATAGATAGATAGATAGATAGATAGATAGATAGATAGATAGATAGATAGATAGATAGATAGATAGATGGATAGATGGATAGATAGATGGATGATAGATAGATAGGTGATAGATGACAGATATAAATTGGTAGCTATAGATATAGATGACATAGATATTTGTCATGGTGTTTTGAATTGTCATATGTATGTATCATACAGAGATAGATAAACACATGAGAGGAGGTGAGAGATTGTTATTCTGTGGAACTGCCTCATGTCTGCAGGGCAGATAGCAGGCTAGATGCTTTTTCAGACTCTGCCACAGAGGCTGGTGTATCCAAGATCAGCAGATCAGGTGACAAGTCCAGCACTGATACGACACATGGCAGACCACTAGCTCCAGTCCAAAGAACCAGAGGTGAGAGTTTGATGAGTCACATGCAGGATCCGGATCAAGCAAACAGAGCTTTACCACACAGCCATGGATACCACAGCACAGATGAGATTTACCACACACACATAGTCTGTGGACTCTCGTCACTGCACTTTGCCCATTTTCATCCAACTCTTAACTCTGCTTTTATCTTTTCAGGTAAAATGTAAGGATTTGAGAGGTGAAGTCATTTCATTTTCCCCAGGTGCCCTTGTTGGACTCTAGAATGTATATTTGGAGACTACTTTAAGTTTTTTAGAAAGTTCCTTTCCAGCCAGTAGATCCTGTTCAGTCTTAAAAGACCAGAAGGTTCTGGCCGGTTAAGTGGAGCACATTGAGGCTAGGGAGATTCTCACATCTAAATTAACATGCTCTGTTGCTGCCTGAAATGTTGGACGTTTGAGTCCCCCTCAAATGCACCATGCAGAAATGTTTTACTAACACATTTCTAAAATCCAAGCTATTGAAAACCCTACAAACCATGACCGTACTCTTAACATGCACAAAATCACCACAGCTTGGAATTGACTCCGTCGTACCAGCTATATTTAGTGCCAACTATATTTACTAGCAGATAGGAGTCATGACGTTGACTGGACAAGACGTTCTGTTCTTTTTACAAAGTCCTGGAATAAAACTGAGTTGGGGGTGTGGGGGGGGGAATATCAAAGTCTTCTGGGATTGGCCACTGCCCCTGACTCTGTGTGTCTGTTTTCTTTTCAGGGTCTATGCCATGTACAATTCCGTAAAGGGCTCCTGCTCCGAGCCGGTTAGCTTCACCACCCACAGCTGTGCCCCCGAGTGCCCGTTGCCACCTAAGTTGGCACACAGGAGCAAGAGTTCTCTCACCCTGCAGTGGAAGGTGGGTAGCTCACGCTTCAGTAGCAGCCTGAAGCCACTGTCCGTCTGTAACCATTGCAAGCCTTTGTGTTACGCTGGGGCGGCTCTGTGATAGCGTTTGCGTTTCAACATAGTCGCTATGTGAAACAGATATTTTACAGTGTCAGAATTTGCCGTTTCTGTTACATGTGGGCAACAGGATGGGAAGAGGGAACTGTGAAATTGGGCTTTCCCTCTTTGCAGAGGGAGTTGGTAAATTTCCTGTCTAAGCAGTATTTTATAAGTGATTATACATACTTAAATACCCACAGTGTGTTTTCTGATGCTGTCACAAACATGTGAGGACCTCAGTAAAAGTTTTGTAGAGAAAGATTTTAGAAATCAGGTAGGTTTATAATGCTGTTACCTTGTTTCAGTCCTGACCTAAATGAAAGACTATTTAAAGCTCTGCTGGAATGTTTCGTTTTCTAATCTACTTTAATACTTTGTTAATTTCCACAGATTGGACTTTATGAAAGTCAGAGTAGATAATTGTAGAAGAGGGCTGACTTAGAGCTTTCCTGCAGTGCCGTTTACAGCTTCCACTAATCATTGCAGGAGCATCTCACTTGACATCCCTTTAGTTGGGACATTCACTTATTAGTCGTGGCTAATAGCCGGAAACCCTATGAACCTGGAGAAATGATGAAAGTACGCACGTGTTGAGGACTTTCATTCATAGGGGCGCTATGAGTGGTCTAGGACTCCACGGCACTTAACAACCTGTTTGCAGAAGAATGGAGGGTTATATTGTCAATCTCCACAGTAATTATTTATACTGATAGTTTAAAAGGTTCTTCAAAAGTAAAATACGTTCCTTTTATGTCATATCTTCAAAATCTGCATAGTTAGGGAGATCAAGAGTTCCAAAGCTTTTGATAGTTTGCAAGGACACAATAATGTCTGAAAGAAACAAGAGGGTTAGAGAGGTCTGTTCAGTAATGAAAGAAATATTTCAATGGGAAGAAATATTTTGTCTTTATTTGTAAACAAGAGGGTCACATTTCTTTGCGAATGATGTGAGACTTGAGAACAATGGTTAGCAGCAAAGCGTGGGCTTAGTTCTGATGGGGCAGCTGTGTTCTAGCCAAGAGCCAGCCTGAGTGTGTTATATGGACAAAGGCAAAGTTGAAACTGGCTTAGAAACTGAACTATTTTATTTTCCTTCCTGGCTTCCAGGGATAACACAGGTCAGTGATTCCCCACCTTCTCAGAATTAACGCCAAACTAGTCATTGTTTAATTCTTTGGAGAGTAAATATTTATATGCCTATTTAAAAACATGCCCTATATCTACATATGTAAATATACCTCTTTTGAAGGAAATCATTAAAATTGCTTTTGTTTGAAAACCATAAGCAATCTTAAGATTCTCAGAGGAGCCCCAGGGTCTTAGAAACTTAAAGTTGGGAATCACTGATACAGCCTTTGTTTGAAACCTGGATGAATTCAGATCTCAGGTCGAATTCCTCCTGATTTTCTTCTCACTGGGAAAATGTTTCATGTTTTCTTTGTTTCCTTTGTTTAATTATGAATCAGAAACATGGTCTTATTCTATCCAGTCATGGGAAAATCTTCAGGATTTAGTTTTGGTTCGAAGTTTTAGAGCAGAGTTGTCCAGGTGAGGCCCCGGGGACAGGGAATTGTTCTGGGAATGCTACAGAGAAGTCCTTCCACGCCTCCAGAGTCCTCAGTAACAGTGGAGATCTGAGCAGCACAGACGGCTATGCCCTCCCCACGAGGATTTAGGACCTAATTATGTGACAGAAAAGGCGCACTGGTAGCACAGTGATTAAAACACTCAGTTGCTCACGGCAGTTAACCTTCCAGCCGCTCAAAAGAAAAGGCTTAGGCTCTCTGGCTCCCACAAAAGCAACAATCTTGAAAACCCCTTAGGGCAGTTTTATTCTGTCTTATCGGGTTGATAGGTGTTAAACACAACTTGTGACATTAGATTTGATTTGTAAGCGACACTGTCTTTGAGGAATCTACTGAACACTTTTTAAGAGGAATCTGGGTGCCATCATTAAGTAGAAGTCTTATCTTAGAAATAAGTTCTTTGATGCTGTCACTTATTCAGGACCTTCATTGCACACATCTCCCAAGTTCTCGATCCAAAAACCTGAGCACTGACTTCTGATCTGAGATTGAGGCTTTAAGGGGCTGAGTCTGAAATAAATAGGAGGGAGAAGATGATTAAAGTTTCTTGATTGATTTAAGCAGCATTTTCTGAGGAGCCCCTGGTGATAATTTACTAGCAATAGCTACTACTCGCTGGCTAACCCATCACTCACCCACAAATGTGTGTGTCTGTGTCTGCCTGTGTATGGACACAGAGACAGCCACTACTTTACGAGGTGATTTGCATATCGAATCTCCCGTTATTTCACAGATCCATCCATTCTTAGAATTCAAAATTTTGACGTTGATGTGAAGCTTCAAGCGATCCTACTCTGGTCAACTCTGCTGCCTTTTGCTGGTTCCAGTTGACTGCCCTTCTGGGAAGAGCCAGGCCCAGGCACGGCTCTGAAATAGTAGACGCCACGCTGTTGATCTTCCTGTTCCCCCACCTTCAGTGTTTTTCTAAAGTTCACTACCAGGTCGCCAGGGACCAAGGTGACGGCCCATTCTGGCAAGGCCAACACCTCAGAGACTTTCTGTAGAGTCCTCTACTCGCATTTTCCTTATTCAGAACCTCTGTTGAAACTTCATTTTGTTAACATGTGAAGCACTATTCAAAAAGCTCGTTGCCATCGAGGCGGGATCGACTGGTAGCTGGCCCTCGAGCAGGTTTCCAGAGGCTGTAAATAACCTGCCAGGAGGTCACCCGTCTTCCTCTCACAAGAGCAGTTGGTGGGTTGCCACGGCAACCACGCCTTTCTCACTAGACCACCGGAGATGGTAACCTACACAGATGATTCTAGTTTTCCTCATTTTCTAAAATAGGAAACTCTTAAATGCCTTTCTAGTTTTAAACCCTTCAATAAGTAAGATCAGGTGGAAGGAAGTATAAAATGCACACGCTAGTCTAAGGACCCTCCCTGTGTCACCTTCAGAAACCCCCTGAGCACAGGGCCTGTGCATGTAAGCTGCCCTCTCTCTCCTTCGCCTCTGCAATCTAGAGTTGCCTCTACTAAGTTCCTCCCCACAGGAGGTAAAGTCCTACAGAGGTGTAAGCATAGAGATGGTGAGGGAAGGCAGGTAGAACTCCGGGGAGTGATCTTTTAATAGTGGGGACACTCTGGTTGCATTCTGTTGAGTGGTTTGTGATAATATTTGTCCAAGGAAATCCAGTTTTTTCTTGGGAGTGGATAACACAGGCCTGGGAGGAGACTGTTCTTATCTCTTAATTATTGTGCCTGGGACATCTTTTTATAATCTCATTTTGTCATCATTTTTGTAGGCACCAGTTGACAATGGTTCAAAAATCACCAACTACCTTTTAGAATGGGATGAGGTAAGTATATGATCACATTCATTCATTTTAAAACTATCACTTCACAAATAAATGATAAATTTTTTTTATGAACACATTCCATTTTGTAAGGCATGCTAGAAAGCACAGGTAAAAGGCATGTAGGCAGAGAAAAATTGAAAGGCAGGACTGTGGAAAATGAAGATGGACTGAGATGGTGTCAGTTATGTTGAAGGCTTTGCGAGAAGTGGTACTGAACAAGGAGCATCCTGTGTATTGAGAGGTCTCCGGGTCTAAGCAGTCATTCACTTACATGTCGTATCGGCTATCGTGTCACCTTATCACTTCCCAAGGCCGTTTTGCTTATTTTGCTGACCTAATCTCTCTTATAGTTTAGGAAACATAAATAGCTTTTCCTTGTGAGTGTCGAGTGTGTGCTCTGATGTTTCACTGTTGTGCTTTCTCTGTGGAGAAGAGTGCAATACAGGTAGCTCTTAGTCCACACATGGCTTGTTCACCCTGTGCTTAGATCACAGACTGGCCATCTTTGCTTTTCATACAGTAAAGACTTGGGTGGGAGCCACACTAGAGTCTCTGTATCCTTGAGGTGACTCAGTGCATTTCTGCCATCACCAACAATGCTTAACGAGTCCAAGACAGGAAGTACTTGATAGAGAAGCCTTTGATTCTAGATAGCTGTGTGTGTGTGTGTGTGTGTGTGTGTGTGTGTGTGTGTGTCCGTCCGTCCGTGTGTGTCCCTCTATTCTTTCTGCAGTAGAACTAACAGGCTGAATTTAAAGATAGGAAGACTGGAATTTGAGGTGAAATGCAAGTGAACTCATTTTTTTAGACATTGATTTGGAGATAATTTAAAAAGTAGGCTTGTGAAAAATTACGTGGCAGACGTGGAGAAATATTTTAACCCAGTGGAAACCGGATGAAGTTCTCTTGGTAAAATGTTGATGTGAGGAGGAGCCCTTGGTCAATAATGCAGACCCTTCCTTCCCCATCTGGACTGCATGTAAGAAGCAGAGCTGCAAGGGACCAGAGACAGTGATGCTTTTTTCCTGGGAACCCTGTGGGTCGCTCGTACGTGCAGCCTGGTGAAATCTCAGACCGGGCTTGTGCATTTTACAGATTAGGTGAGTTTTCATTTGAAAGTAGTCTGATTAGAAAGTGAAACCACTCCTTGAGCCCCGTGGAAAGAGTGTGTTACAGGCAGGCCAGAAAGTTGGAAAGGATTGGCTGACCCGGCACGTGGATAGTTAACAACTCCGCTTCTCTCCCTCACCTGTGAGGGTGAGTCAGAATTTAATGAAGCCTGGTTTTTAAGAGTGTTGACTTACTGCATTGCCTGATGTTGATCTTAATATCTGGAGGTTTTATATGAAGATAGGGCTTGTTACCGGCAAAGAAAAACTTTGTTGTATTTTTTTAAGTGTGTTTTTTTTTCTTGCCTGTGTCTATGAGCTCATAAGTTAAATAAGGTCAGAGGAGTTGGGAGTTTGAGTAGGAAACTGCCAAGGAAAATCCAGGTGCTGTAGGAAATTGTGCCGGTGACTCGGTCCTTTTGAATTTGTGAAGGTGCTGGGGGAGAACAGACTGCAGCCTCCACGAAACGTGGAAGCCGTGGCTGACGGCCGTCTGTGATCAGGAGGGCTCACCGTGGATTGTGTCCACAAAATGTTCGGTGGTTTGTTTGAGACCTCTTCCTGCCATTTCTCTCTCTCTCTCTCTCTCTGTCTCTCTCTCTCTCTCTCTTTTTCCATTACTCAATTCCCTTTTTCTTTTCCTATTTGCTACCTTAGATCTCTCACCTCACCCTTTCCTCTTTGTTTTCTCCTCTGAATTCTAATTCCTGCATAGATCAGCTCTGTTGAGCTTTCCTGGAGAGGCCAGGCTCACTGACTCTCCTTTTCCATGGCTTCTCCACCTCCGCACCCTCTCCCTCCATGAGAATCCCTCTGCCTTTAATATTTAACCCCCAGAAAGGCAGTTCATCTCCACAGCCTGAAGCTCATGCTTGCCTCCAGATACAGTGAGCTTTCTGGCATTGGAGTGTAATTGAAAGTAAGCCAAACTTTAGAAGATGTGAATTCTAGTTCCATGTTTCCACAGAGCAGCTCTGGGACCTCCACCTCTCTGGTCCCCGTTTTGTCTGCCTCTGAAATGGTGACTAGATTTTCTCTGAGAGCCTGAAAAACCAGTGTGTACTGGCCTCTTGTTTACTTTTAGACAAAAACAAATCTTGCCACATGTATCTCAGGTTTTTTTCTCCCTCCACCTATCCTTTATATCCTCCAGAAACCCTATGAACTTGGAGAAAGGATGAAAGTCACACAAGTGTTGAAGATGTTTGTTCACAGGGTCGCTATGAGTCGCCTTCAACTCGACAGCACTTAGCAACAACAACATCCTTTATATCATACTTTTCTATTAAAAAGAAAAATACACACCCTTAAAAGGCTGTTGTAGAAGTTAAAAATGTGAAGATTGTGTGAAAAGTATACAACATTCAAAGAACTGGTGTCTGTGCTATGCATCACTATTAATTTGCCATTAATAGACCCTCTGAACGTGGCGTTTTAGGGAATGTACGGAAGAACCTGAAAAATAGTTCTGTGGTTATTCCCAAGAATCTTCCTCACAGCTCACTCAGCCCCAAAAGGAACTGGACAATTTCTCCTGGTGACTCATAAGCCAACAGCTGTAAAATGCAGTGTTTGTAAGAATGAAATGATTACCCCAGAAGTGCGAGGAAGCAGGATTTAACGGAGAGAGAGCAACCAAAGTCCCCAGCAGACAGGGCTCCCCCGAGAGGCCGTGGCACCACTGGCAGAACAGACAGCGTGTCGCAGCCCAGTTACAGGCACCTCCTGGTGGCAGACCACGAGCTGTAGCCTCTGAGACGCTTCATTCAGAAGAGGCCGTCTTAGCTCCTGGAGAGATCGAGTCAGGCCCACTAGAGGGGTTCTTCATACCCATTGGATTTCTCATTCTCAGGCTTACAGAACCCAAGTGTCAAATACGGTGCTAATCTTTCAGAACGCTTAGGCACAAGTGAATTTACATGGTTTTTCTTGTTACATAAACGCCATGCCCGCTGAGAAAGGGGCTGCCCCTCTCTGTTCTGTTGCTCTGTTGTGGGGTACACAGAATGCTGGTCGAGTGGGGAGAACTAGGAGAGACCCATTTCCTTCCCAGCCCTGGTGCCTGGCAGACACGCCGTGGAAAGTCCCCGCATGTCCAGGCCTTCAGGTTCTTGGCGCGGTTGGTTGGTTGGTTGGTTGGTTTTGTATTTCTTGATTATTGTCAGCGAATTGTCATCTTGGAGGTTAGAGAGAGAGGTGTCCTAAGGTGAACTAATCCTTTATCATCAGAGACCCTTCGCCACCTTCTAACCTGACTCAGCGAGCTGGCAGGGTGAGAAGGTTGTCACCTTCGAGACCTCCTGTCACACCTCAGGGTGTCTTCAGAGAGCCAGAGGAATTGCTTCTCCCACATCAGTCAGGTCACTGAAGAGCTAATGAAAGTAAGTTGGCCAGGAAGGACTGACTAACTCCGGACCCTCGGCTACCAAAGGCAGGCCTGAGAAGCATCCGTCTCTTGGAGTATCAGCCCAGAGGTCCTCCCACGTGAAGCGGCGGCTTCTCCTTGGCTTTGTACCGTTTGTCGCTGCGTCTGTGTGGTGAAATGATGTGTCTGAACAGCCGACTTTGTGGGGAGCTTCTGACTGAGGAAAGTTGGCCCTTCGCCCGTGCTGATCTCTGACCCCTCTTGTTTGTCATGCCTGGGGGTGGCCCGCTGGAAAATGGCCACAGTGGTCTTGAGCTAGAGGGCTGGCCCAAACCCATGGCTCAGATCTATTTGTAAATAGAAGGCCTAGTCTAAAATTAGCCCCTTCTGGTCTTTTCTGCCCCCTTTACTGAAGCAGAGCTGATCAGTTATTATTATCAGACAATTGTACTACGTTCCGGAGAAGGATACGGTTTATTCCGTTTGGTGTTACAGGTACCAGCAAGCTGGTAACCCTGTGTGTACAACAGGATCAGAGCCGGTTCTGTCCCGTCCTCATTGTCACTGCGGTGCTTTTTGAACCTGTTGTTGGAGCACATGTCAGACCATGTCATGGGGCATGTTCCTCTTTTTCACTGACCCTCTCTATGTTTCCAGGGAAGATGTCCTTTTTAGGGGCTGGCCCGTCCTGGTCACAGGTCTGGCGTATCTAAGCTAGAATGTCACCGTCCTAAAATTACACGCGTAAGGAGCACTCCGGTGGCACGCATTCCAGGAAGGACTTGTTGGTTCTCTGACAGCCCCTGAAGCCTCAGGATTATTTGCCACCATCATTTCAGTCATCTGTTCGTCTTTGGTCTTCTTTAGTATCCACATTTTGCATGAATATGGTATGATTGAAAATACCATGGCGTGGGCCAGGCTCACCTTGGGCCTCCAAGTGACATCTTTGCTTTTTAACACCTATGAGGATTCTTTTGCAATAGATTTGATCATTACGATAAAGTGTTCGATTTCTTGATTGCTGCTTTGATTGGTTATATGCACTGCAGAAGGTGCTTTATCCACATAAGTAGAAAATTTCCATTTCTTCAGCCCCTGTAAAGAAAGTTCTGCCTGTCTCCTCTCGTGGTTGGTGTGAGCTTTGGAAACCCTTCAGGGGAGTTCTGTGAGTCATTACACAGCAGGAAGCTTTGTGATTGGTTTTTGTAGGAATCCAGTTGGGGGCAGCGGTAGCTCAGTGGTAGAATCCTTCGCTTCTGTGCAGGAGACCTGAGTTCAGCTCCCCAGAAGCGGCCACCCGTGTGTCACGAAAGGCACCTGTGTTGCCATGATGGTGAACAAACATCACTGGAGCTTCCAGAAGAAGGTGAACAAAAGGGCAAGGGCTCAGTGTTCTACTTCCAGAAATCAGCTGGGGGAAACCATACGGATCCCAACAGTCCTGTTCTGTTAAACGTGGGAGCCCCGTGAGTCAAGGGACAGCCCCGGGTCAGCTGATAACATAACACAGTGGAAGACTGCAT